TTCCCCTCTGCTGGCTGTGGATAAGGGAGGCCCACCCAGGCTCCTGGCTGATCAAGGGGCTCAGCAGAGCCCAGCAGGCTGCCAAGGAGCTTTGCCTTGAAGGTTGTTGCCCCCAGCAGGGGGTTTGCAGAGGGATGGAAGGTGGGTTCAGGTAGGACCCTTGGGAATAGTGGTGCCCATGTTTTCTCTGTCCTGCAAACTCCATGCTCCGTGTGGGACCTCCCCCACGCTCCCACCCCGCTCCTGAGCGGCAGCCTCCCGGTTTGGGGAGCAAGGGTTCCCTGCAGCTCAGACTCAGAGTTAGCTTCTCTGGATTGGGGACCAGGCCCAAGCGTGGAGTCGGGGGGCTTCCAGAGTCCCACTGAGTGTCCAGGCAAAGCCAGGATCAGCACCGCATTTCAGTGTGGGCTGCAGCAATCCCTCCAGGCGGGTCTTGGGCCGAGGTCCTTTATAAGAACAGGAGACCAGACAGGTGCCCTGAGCTGATCAGTGAGAGACTCCTGCGTTTTCCCCATGAGTCACCAGCGAGGGGCAGGGAGCCGGAGTAAACTGGTGGCATCCACAAGGCAGCAAAACCCAGGGGTGGCTCCTCCTCCCAGCTCCAAGGCTTTTCAGTGACAGTGATGGAGTGAGCCCTCGATTCTTTCCGATAGTAGCCCTGGCTGCTGTTTGCAGAAAGCCTTGTCTACCCAGGATTGACTTCCTCCCAGTCAGCCACACCCTGTGGCATCCACTTCCTCCCTCAGGCTGCTTGCTGCCCAGGGGTCCCCAGTGCCCTGCAGAGAAGTGGGGACCCTGTGTCCTCCGCTGCCCCCTAGGGCATCACAACACTTCCTGGGGCCCCAGCAGGCTCTGTGCCCTCTGACCCCGGGCATCTTACTGCCAGCAGGATGGGCCCTCTTTGGGGACACTATTGGCACCGACGTTCTGAGCAGGCACACGCGGAGGGAAGCGACTTGAAAGGTTCATTCTCTTTGGAAACTGGCTTTGGGGTCCCCAGTAGCTAGGAAAGGAAGCGCTGGTCCACAGGAACCCCGAGGGAGCCGAAGCTGAATCATTTTTGAGGAAGAAGTGGAGGCCAGCAGGCCCGCAGCCCTAACATCTGGGAACGGGTGACCTGCTGGCTCCCCAGTCTTCGGAGCAGTGAGGGCGCAGCAGTGAGCTGACCCGCCTGGCCCGGTTGGAGGCAGGAAGTGGGGGGCGGGTGCTGCCCTCCAGGACGGGGGTCACTCCTCAAGAAGACGGAAACGTGGGAGGGCCCACACGCCCCTTCTGAGATGACTCTAAATGGCCCCTTTCTTCTCGGCCCTCACTGGGTGGCAAACCCAGTCTCTGTCACGCGCCCACTGCCTGAGGGACAAACGCAGCTTTCCCCTCTTATGAGTAAACAGCTCTCACTCATTGCTTCCTTCCTTCCATCACACCTCTGTGCCCACAGAGTCTGGACGGGTGAGGACCCCAAGCAGGAGGGGGTGTCTTGGTCGGAGCCACAGCAGCCCTCTTGGGCTGGGCAAGCAGCACACACAGGGAGGGCTCGGTCAGCCCCCCCTCCACCCCCGGGACTCCCGCCGAGACCCTCACCCTGATGACCACGCGTCATGGGAGAGCATATGCAACGTCATGGTGGGGGGAGAACAGGGTGAAACGGTGGCCTGGGAGGCTGATGTGGCCCCTCCCCAGTGTAACCAGCCCTGGCTCCCCATGCCCCGGCTGCTTGTGTCAAGCTGTGTCCTGGCCTGGCCACCCTGCAACCCTCATCCTGGGCTGTCCTGGGGCGGCCCCACATCTGAGGGACCAGGGCCCTGGTGCTAAGTAGGGCGGGACCGGCAGAGACAGCCTGTGTGTCGGGAACAGATGGTCCTGGCTGCCGGCCCTTGGGGGCAGCTCCTCTGGGCTGCACGGCCTGGGATGGAGCCCTTTCTCTCACCCAGTAACGATGTCCACAAGTCCGTAAGAAGGAGGCACAAGCCTTGGGTCAGGGAGCAAGGAAGAAGACCCCATGGTCAGACAACTGGAGGAAAGCCAGGGGAGGAGCGTTGGGGATGCAGACAGCATCTCCTCTCCGTGCCTGTCACCTGCCTCTGGTAGCCTACAGCAAAGCCACCTCCAGCCATCACCGAGTGGTTGGCTGCCCCCTGCACTTGGCTTCCCTGCTCCTTGTCATCCAGATGCTCTGGCAGGCGCCACCCTCACGCAGAGCTGGGAGGACGGGCCCGCCTGCTGTCCCTCTGGGTCAGGTGCCAACACCACAGCAGGGCCCCTGGTCAAAGCCCCTGACCCTGGCCCCTGAGGGCAGGCCGCCCAGAGCTGGGTGCGCGCTGGTCACGGTGGCAGCATCTATCCTGCACTGCACGGGCAGCCACCATGCTGAGCGCATCTCTCAGCGCCTCTCCTAGATCCTCACGGGAGAGCTTAGGAGACTAAGCCGAGTGCAGCATCCAAAATCACACGGCTGCTAAGTGGTGGGGCCCGGATTTGAACTCAGGTCTCGGCTTCCTTTAGTCAGGGACAGGACCAGCTAGTTAGTGCCAGAGACGGACAAGAGACCATGCATTTGCTTTCTGCTCACGCTTTTTCCTCCAGTTGGCTTTCTGTTGCTTTCAATCAAGTGTCCTGAGGAGCACAAGCTAGAAAGAAACTGCCCTGGTGGGAGGCACAATGCGCCCTGGGAAGCCGTGCAGGCCGCCCACACCTGGGCACTCCTGTCCCAGCCCAGCTTGAGCCTCAAGCACGGGAGGCCGAGCACCCACAAAGCACCCAATGTGGACGAGACCAAGAGAGGAACAAACAGCCAGAGCCCCAGACTCCTGGCTGAGGGAGGGGAGGCTGTGGGCCACCTGTGCCCCACTGGGGACCTGGCAATCTACATGGGCCACCCCCATGGTCTTCCTTACAGCCATTCTTGAAAGAGACACTGTGCTTCTCACCTGCCCCGTTCCCCTTAACATCATGGCAATGAGAGCTCAGGATTCGCCTGGGGAACAACATGCTTCCTCCCTCGGGGAAGGGCCCTGGCTGGGAGTGTCGTGATCTGCAAAGGGACCTCGCAGGTGGCGGTAAGGACTTCTCTGGGGGGTGGAGCCATCACACACCTGGGAGGTACTCAGGCAGGGGATGTGCCCATGACCACCATGTCCTGGAAACCTGCTGTGTGAGCGTGACTCACGGACAGCCTGGCCACGCTGCTGTGCGGAGGCAGGGAAATGCACAGGACGCTGAGGAGCTCCCCAGTCTAGCCGGATTGTAAGGAGGTAACAGTCATGACGACAACAACAATAGAGAGAGTAGGTGACTCTCGAGCCTCAAGCGGAGGTGAGCTCCTACAGCAAGGGCCTGGGCCAGGTGTCCCTCAGCCTATCCAGGGTGGCCTGAGCCAGGCATGCAGGGGAGGAGGGATCCAGGTGGCAGTGCCAGATCCAGGCGGGAAGAAGGTGTTGCTGCACAGGGGTCTGTGAGCCACCAATGTGCTGAGGCAGCAGGTGCATGGGGAGGGCAGGAGCGCTGGACACTTGGGTGGGGTTCCCGCAGGCTCCACCTCGCACAGTGACTCAGTGTCTCCGTGAAGGGAGCAGCCTTCTTTGGAAGGCAGTGCAGGAGACCCCAGGGGAGGGATGGAGCACAAGCCCACAGGCATGGATGGGGGGATGTGGGTAGCACCCCATGGGCCTGTTCCCTGCTGCGAGAAGAAACCACAACCCTGAGATTCAGGCACCCTTACTGGCCAGCGACGGTTATCTTGGGGTCCTCTGCCAAAGGTGTCAATTTACGTGCTTCCTCCATTTCCACGGATCAGGATCTGGATTCATGGCTTAGCCCAGGCCTGGTGGTCTCTGGGACCTTTGCCCACGTGGCAGAGGGGAGAGTAGGCAGGTTGGGGGAGGGGCGCAGCAGCCAGGGAAGAGAGAAACAGAAGCCCTCCGCATACCAGCGCCCTCAGCTTCTCACAGACCCCGACCCACCTCCCCTCTGCAGCTAAGGGCACTGCCCGCTCACTCCGCCAGGTGCCCCGCCAGCCTCACCCAGGACCTCTCCTGGCACTCTCTGTCACCGCGTCACACACTCCTCATCCTCCAGCAATCTGACCGGTTGTTGGCCTCGACCCCCATCCCTTCTCCAAGAGGTCACGTGCCACGGCCCAGCTGCCCAAACCCACAGACACGCTTCTGCCCCCCTCACTTTTGTTTCTCCAGCATCCAAAGAACCACGTGGAGGAACCAAAAACAGGATGACCATCTCCAACACCTAAGCAGGTCGTTGGCTCCATACAGGGCTTGGAGAAGGTGGGGTCTAGTCCCTTGGCTAGCTTCCCGCCTACAGACCCCCACCCTCCCCCACAAAAACATCACATGTGAGCTGGAACCGTGAGAGAAGCGGCTGAAAACGCGATGGGGGACGAGGGGCTGGTAAACGGGTGCGGGAGAGGAGGGAGGCAGCGAACCGATGTGTGGGCGGCGGGCAGCGGGGACCCAGGCGCTGCAGGAGCGGACTCGCGGGGCGCGCTGCCAGGGCGCAGGAAGGCAGGGCCGGAGCAAAGGAGAACCAGGATGGGAGAGATGCGGATTTCGGCTGGGGGCGGGGACGCCCCTGATAGGCGCGCGGAAGGCGTGATGTCACGTCCGGCGGGGGAAGCCCTGCCTCAGCACCCCCGCCCCCGCCCCCACAGGTGGTGCCGCCGCCCCGGGCTCTGGGCGTGGGGGCCCGCCCTCGGGGACCCCGGCCGCAGCCCGCGCGGTCCCCCGTTCCTTCGCCTCCCTCAAGCAGTCAATAGATCTGCGCGAGCCGGGCAGGCCCCCAGTCCCCGGAGAGCGGGAGGAGCGCCCGGTGCGCCCCGGATCGCGCCCCCGCGCCGCGCCCCGCCCCGCCCCGCCCCGCCCGGTGCTCCCCTCCCCTCCCGCCCTGCGCGCCCCTCCCCTGCCCTCCCCTCCCCGCCCGTCTCCCCGGCCGCCGAGGGGCCGGGCCGGCGGCGGGGGAGGCGCCGAGCCGGGACTGCGCGCTCGCCCGCCGCGCTTTGGGCGGCCCGACCGAGCGGCTGGACCTCGCGCCCCGCGCCGCGGCCGCCGCCGGCTTTTGTTGTCTCCGCCTCCTCGGCCTCCGGACCGCGAGCCGCGCGCCGGGACCTTGGCTCTGCCCTTCGCGGGCGGGGGCTTCGCGGGCCCGGCCGGGACCCTAGAGGGGCGCGGGCGGGCTGCTGGGGGCGCCGCCGGCCCCGCCATGGAGCTCCGGGCCCGAGGCTGGTGGCTGCTGTGCGCGGCCGCCGCGCTGGCCGCCTGCGCCCGCGGGGACCCTGCCAGCAAGAGCCGGAGCTGCGGCGAAGTCCGCCAGATCTACGGGGCCAAGGGCTTCAGCCTGAGCGACGTGCCCCAGGCGGAGATCTCGGGTGAGTGAGGGCGCGGCGCCCGGGGGCCCCAACCTGGCTGGGCTGCGGGCCCCGGACCCCGGCGTGCCCGGGTCTCCCCCTGCGGCCCCCATTCTTTCCTGCTCTCTCTTGGTTTGCCCTGCGCGGCCCCTCGCCCCGGGCGCTCGAATCCCGCCGCCTGTGCCCGGCCACCCGGACCCCTAGTGGTCCCCTGCGCCTTCGTTTGTCTGCACCCCTTCGGGCCCTCGCCTCCGAGCTCCGCGCCGCCCTGCCTCCCCCCGGTCTCCTCCGCTCCGCTCGGTCACTCCCAGCCCCCAACTCGCACACCCGCCCCTTCCCCGCGGAGCTTTCCTCGCCGGGCGGTGGGCCGGGCGGTCCCTGGCTCCGTGCCTCCTCCAGGGCCACGGCTCGAGCTGGGCGTCTTCGGCCACCGGCTCGGCCCAGCGCGGCGGCGGGGCAGGAGTCCGAGTCCCGGGGCGCTCCGGCCCACCTCGGCGCCAGCCAGGGCTGAGCTGCGGGGCCGGCCATCGGGGCGCAGCTGAAGGTGGCCGCGGGCTAGGGACTCCAACTCGGCTGTCCGGGCCTCTCCAAGAGGCGCCTCGTGTCGGGCCCGGGGAGTCCCGCGGGGTTCCTAGCAGGGCAGCCTAGGGGCCCCTGCGAGACAGGGAGCGAGCTGTGCGCTTGGCGGGGGGGCGGGGAAGGCGCGACCTCTTCCACCTCGAGCGGGAACGCCGCCTGGCAGGGATTCCTGATTCCTGCGGGGGAACTTGTGCTCGCCTAGTGCTCTCGCCCCGCCTGCCACTCTGGGCCGCTGGAGTCCAGCTGCAGGTGGTCGGCGCCTTGGATCCCGCCCAGGGGCCATGTCATTTCTCTGTAAGAGCGTGGATTCTCCCAGGCGGCCTCAGCCCTGCAGCTGCCCGCAGTCTTGCCACCCCCTCCCTGCTGGCTTCTGATGAGCTTTGGGAACAGAAGTGGATGTGAGAGTGAGGGGTGGAGCACAGTGTCCTAAGGACCTCCAGGACCCCCAGGCTTCATCCTCAAACTGCACACGTGTCCAGAGCCGCACTGGGTCTGGTCTGTCTGGGGCACAGTGGACAAGGGCAGAGCAAACCAGATTCCTGCTCTTGGGGGGCTCTTTCCAAACGGGCGGGGGGTCAGGCAGGTAAGCGAGGCACTCAAATGGTGGCACAGGAACAGAGAATGACTAGGGCCACGGAATTCTGAATGATAGAGGAGTGCATGGGGGCGGGGGCCATGGCCATGCCTATGCCTTGCTGGGGACTGGGAGGAGGCAGCCAGGCTCTGGCCCCCTGGCCCCTAGAAGGGCAGATGCACAGAAGGCTGCCTTGAGAGATCCCTTGACACCTCCCCTGAGGTTTTGGAGAGGCCCCTCTCAAGGATCCCAGGGCAGGCCTTGCTGTGCCTCCCTCTGCTGACGGGGCCCTGTCAGTGTCCCAGCTCCCTCCCGGGTTGGAGGTGGGATGGGTTTGGGGGGCACACCAGCACAGGCCCTGGGCAGAGTTTGGTTCATGCTCCACCCCCACCTCTGCTCCTCCCCCCACATAAACAGGAACCTTTGCCCGGCCTCCCTGGCCATCCTGCTGGATCCCTCCTCAGAGCACAGGGTCTCAGGGTGGCTGAGCAGCTGCCCCCACCCAGCCCTGCCTCTTGGACAGAAGCCTTCTCCTCTGCCCCACCGCCCTCCTTCCCACATCCACTTGGCCGTGGTGCCCCAGGGGCCATCCTAAACTTGCTCACATCCACACGCCTCTGTTCTAGTTAGGCCGAGAGCCAGAGTGGCAGAGTTTGGGCAGCCGCCAAGGGCTAGGAGGAGAGCCAGGCAAACTGGAGAAACTGAGGAGGGGCTGGGCTGGGAGGCTGGGTCTTGGCCCCCTGGGGTTAGGGTATACAGTTGGTTGCGGCCGGCATGAGCAAAGTATGTGGCTATCAGTGTGATGAGTGGGGGCGGGGTGCTGTCCGTCCCGCTGGGGGAGTATGGCCGCGCAGCAGCTGTCCCAGCATCGCGCTGGCCAGGGCTTCGGGCGCCGCCCACCTCTGGATCTGGAAAGCCGGAGACCGGGCAGGGTTGCTGCCCTCCCTGCCGATGGCCTGCGGCTCCTCCGTCCCAGCGCCAAGGGCTCCTCCAGGGGAGGTGCTCTCCCCGACCCCACATGGCCACACCCCCCTGAAGAAGGCTAGAACTGAAGAGTGCCCTGGGGGCCCAGGCGCCAAGGAGAGCACCAGTGCCACGTGGGGGAAGGAAGCAGGGTGACCTCTCAGGGCAGTGGCCAGCCGGCCAGCCATGTCCCCTTCTGCTCCGGGTGACTAGTGCTGGCCTCCGCGGACCAGGCGCCCTCTGGTGGGCCCACGGCGGCACACTGCTCTCCAGGAGCCGGGCGGAAGGTCCCCTCTCCTGCAGGCCCAGCAGCCAGACTTCTCCAGCGTGGGGACCCTTGGGGGTGGACCCCTGTTGAGAGTCCCCTGGCTCAGCTGGCCCCCCGGCTGGGTAGGGCAGAGACCCAATGCTTCCTCGGGGCTGGGAGGGAAGGAGGGCTGCCCTGGCTCTGCAGGGGACCTTTCCAGTCTCTGCCTGAGGGAGCAGAAATGGTGGTGGGCTCCTAAGAGGGGACCATCAGAGTGTGTTACTCTCCGTTTCTGACTGTGTGTGGTTTTTTGGACAGCCAGGCCAGGCAGTGGTGACAGGTGAGGCTCAGGCGTTGGGGGCAGCGGCTGGGGAAGGCCACCATATGGCCCTCCCTCAGACCAGAGCGTTGTACAGGAAGCAGGGGCCAGGCACTGAACCGCCGCTGGAACCCTCTGCCGTGCTGGGAAATGCCCACCCTGGCTCGTGCTGAATCACAGCCCTTCCTGGCAGGGGCTCCCTCCTCCTGCCAGGTTGCTTCTGGTCCCCAGATGTTTCCTAAGCACCTGCCGGGGCTGCCAGCACTCCACACAATTCATCCCGAATTTTTCTGACCCTTTGCTGGGTCCTGGGACAGGGACCGCCTCTGTCTGTTCACCTCTGTTGTAGCCGCAGAACTGGGCCCAGCTCCCGGGGCTGAGCAGGTTCTCAGTGAACACTTGCTGGGGTCCCATGAATGTCCTGCTTTGTGCTGGGTCATGCAGGGTGGGTAGTGGGAGATGCAGACAGGTCCAGCGTTGGGAGTTAGAGGTCGGGGGGCATGGGACTGTCAGTGCAACCAGAACCGGCCAGCTGCTCCTCTACCCCAAGAATCAGGGTGGCACCAGCATGCAGGTGGAGCCCATACCGAGGACCACACCTCAGGCCCTGCTGTAGCAATCTTTGCTTCTCTGGGCTGGCTGTGACCTCATGGGGGGGGGGGGGGGGTGCGGGGTGGCGCACAGATTATGAGGGGAGGGTCCTCAGAAGCCGTGGGCCTCCCCCCACCTTGTCCTAGAAAGGGCTGTCCTGGCTGGGCCGGAGAGAGCCCACCCGGCGTCTGTCTCTCAGCCACGGTCAACGGGGCTCTTGCAAGCCACCTGGCGCACAGCCTATCCCAAGACCAGAAGGTTCTGTGTCCCTTGTCCCGTTCAGAAGGCAGAAGCCTCCGTGTGTCTAATCTGGGTCCCCAAGGTGGTCAGCAGCCTCGGGCTGGGCCGCTGCTCAGTCCTCCACCATTCGAGCTGAGGTTTCATCATCCCCATCGTGAGGACAGGGCTTCGAGGGGGGGTGGCCCAAGGGAGCCAGGATTCGACAGGGCCACCTGCCTGATGCAATGGCTTGGGCCCCTTGCTCCAGCCTCTGTGCTGGACGTGCTGCTGTGCTCCTCCGGGAGGCAGGACGTCCTCCCCGGGCCAGGACAGGCAGCGTCCTGCCGCTTTGGCCTCCCACCCCTGTCGGCCTCTCTGTGCCTCTGTGTCTTCACATGTGACAATGGGAATAGTCACGACCACCCCCAAAGGTTGCTGGGAGGCAGAGCGTGTGGACACTGTGGACTGTGTGGGTGGCCTGAGGCCACATCCTCCCCCTTGTCCCCTTGGCTCCAGAGGTCTTCTGCGGAGGCATGAACCAGGCTCCATGTGACTCACTTCCCGGTAGTGTCTCGTTCACATGTTGGATAAGGAGGGGTCTTTGTAGACCTGGTTTCAGAGGAGTAAACCGAGGCCCAGAGAACCCATATAACTTTTTTCAGGGCACTCAGCCCATGTGGAGCTCTGGGGCCTAGAGTGCAGTCTGCAGACCCCAAAGCCTGTCACATTAACTGCTGCTCAGTCCCATGGTCTGTGTTTTCTGCAAACCTCGTGCCATCCCAGCCTGGAGGCCTGAGATGGGACCGTGAGGTCCTGGCCCTAATGGGCCACCAGCTGCCTTCTCCTGTCGGCTCTCCTCGGCCTGCTTCCATTTCTTAGGCCTCGTTAGAACTTATCTTACCTCCGTCTCCTCCTGAGCACCTGCCCTGGTCTCCCTGCCCCCAGCCTTGCCCAGCTCCATCTGGACAGCACTGCCCCATGACTCGGCCTTCCACGGGCCGGGCCTTACTCTCTCGCCAGGCCCCCGCTGCCTGTCCAGTGAAAGCCAGCTTGTCAGCCTGCCTTGGGGCCTGTCACTTCCACCATGCTAAGGGCTGTTCCCAGGCCCCAGGGGTGTGAATCAAGTGACCCCAGGATGCACACAGTGGGTGGCCCAACGGTATGCTGCTGGCCAGCCCAAGGAGCGGCCCCCGCTGTATCCCCAGCACCATGCTGGTCCTAGTCCCCCAGGGGCTGGTGAGCCTAGGCCAAGAGACAGGCCAGTCCCTTAGTAAGCTGGCTCCATGCTGGTGCTAATTAGGAACAGCGTGAGCTGTGAGCCCGTGATTGACCGGCCTCTTGGGCTGTGGAGGCCTCTTGGGACTGGGACTGGGGACGTGCCGGCCGGGTGGTACGCTGGGCTTTGGCGTCAGGAAGAGAGCACTGTGGGTGTGTCAGCCTAGCTGGCCCTGGACGGGGAGACAGGCGGAGAGGGGGACTTGCCCGAGGCCACATGGGCGTCAGGTCGGGCCTGGGCCCCATGTGTGCCG